TATAACACAGAAACAAGGTCCCTGACCTTGAGGATCTTCCAACAATGCTTTTGAAGTCATCCAGTTCTTTTTCTTACTTCAAGTATCTTAGACATGTGCCTAATATATAATAATGTCTTTGAGGGCTGTGTCTAAATTACTTGGTATTTTGTTTACCATTGCTATGTATACATAAAGATACTATTAAGTGGCATTGAGTTCAGTTTTGAAATGGAAGAGAGCTTTATGATCAACAAGTAACTTGCTTTATCCTCAGTTTACTAAACAGTGCCATCCCAGAAACATCCTGCTGTAATAGTAATCCCAACACGTCAAAAACCAAGAGGCTACCACTGAGTTGAAAATGTTCCTGGGCTTTATTTAGGACAATGTTATTCCTCTGAAACTTTTTGCAGGGAAGTACAATAATTTATGAAATATGATTACCTGTCCTTCACTGGACTTCTTGCATTCCCTAAGCTATGCTAATTTCTCCCAGCCAAATTTCAGAAAGATAGAGTGATATGTGTTTGAAGTATAGTATTTGCACATGATTCTTTTTTACATGCAGAGATGACATAGACCAAATAAAGTTTCTTGACATATAACTATAATCAATAAAAAGCTTTCTCCCCCCAACATCAGAATTAGGCTAGCATTTCACTATCTTGAATAATACATCAAAGAAAAGGATATTCCACAGCCTTTCTTAAGAGATCTATGCCAGTTTTTAATAGTCCATAGACCATCATCATCCTCAAAATGTTTTTGCTCCTCCTTTTTGTTCATTATGGAAATTATGGGCAACAAACCAAATTGTTCTACTGACACTCCTACAACTAAGTAGCCTAAAGCAATGTGAAATCTGCTTGCCCCTATCTTCCATGTCCAACCAAACCCATGGTATTGTGCAAGATCTCTAAAATTCTATAAGATCCGCCAAGGTCTATAAGATCCTTTGTGTTTTTGACAAGACATTTTGTTTAAAGTAGCATTACAAAGAACCACTTGTAGGACCATTCTTGCTGGTCTGGGGTAGTCTGGGAGAGATAGCTTAAGCCAGGGAGCATTTTGGTTATTTAAGAAGTCACAACATAAACTTTTGGAATTTCTTTTCCTTAATAAAATGAATCTGTCTTTTGAGAAGAGGAGTGAGTTACCTGATGGAGTCTGCACTAATATGCCTCTGTGTGTGTGTGTGTGTGTGTGTGTGTGTGTGTGTGTGTGTGTGTGT